TTTATTCTCAGTGAAGTGCAGAGCTGTTTATTTGAAATGGAAAACTGCATTGAAACAGTTTTCTTTTCATTCACTATTATTTTGTCATTACGAAAACAATTTTAAATATCTGATAATGTACTAATTACGGTTTCTTTATTGTAAAGAATATTCGTATAATCCGCAAAGAGAACTGTTCTTTCGTTTCTAATCGTCGAGGGCATATTGTTTACAGGAAGAAAATAGGACCTAAAATCGATCCCTGCGGGACTCCACATGCAATTGGCAAAGAATCAGAAAGGTGTGTGCATTATGTTCCTTTATTCCAGTAAGGTATTTTTACTCTCTGAGAACGTTATTTAAGGTACGACATAATCAATCTAGAGCAACACCACAAATTCCATACGAAGGTAATTTTGAAGGTAAAATGTTATGATCAGTGACGTCAAAAACGTTTGAAAGATCTAAAAATATTCCAGTAGGTGCTTCGTCCATGGATGAGGCGACATCTTTAAGAAAAGAAAATATGGCTGTTTCCGTAGATTTTGATTTTCGAAACCCCTATTGGCAATCTGAAAACGCATCGTGTTTTCTAAGAAATGTTTGAAATGAAAGGTTTTAAGGAGCACTAAATTCCCAGACAGTTTAATATGTAATTATTTCGAAAATTGTGCACAGGTACAGACATACAATGTCATGAAAATAATAATAGTAATAATAATAATAATAATAATAATAATTATTATTATTATTATTATAATAATAATACATTTAAGATTTTATTAACTCAAACCAAAATACCCTTATTATTCTTACATCCCGTGTAATTATTTAATTAAAGGATAATTTTTTGAATGAATATATTTTTGTCAGAATATTCTAACAATATATTGGAAATTTCCGAGCAAGATCATGCCTGTCCAGTAAATATTCACTGTAATACTTGCTGAGAATAGTTAGCGAAAACACAAAAGAATGAAAAAATACTGACAACTACGATTATCGTGAAAACGTATTTAGGGAGTATTCTGTCTGTTTATGTAATAGATATCGATATATTGCCGGTACAAACGTACTCAATATCGACGATATTAATAATTTTCGAACACATTTCGTTAATTAATAATTTTAATTGTTAGGTAATTAAAATTCTGCTAATTTTCCTGCATTTCAATTATTTTTCTCCGTTCTTTTCGCCGTCCGCGGAACTTCGTTGTCCCCTGCGGTACGAGTTGAAAATTCACTGAAAACGGCGGGAATTCCTCCGATAATACTAATCGGTATCTGCAAACTGTATGGTCACATGACGCTTAACAGATCGACGCGGCATCTCTGAATACAGAGATTAACGGACTAGTTTTAAAACACCGAAAAGGAGGACATGTAGGAGGCCACTTTTCAAGGAAGGTCAGAATCTACAAAAGGAGGACGATTGGTCACCTTAGTTGTTGGTTTCCCCGAAATAACTTTCTTAATGGGCGATTGCGCGCGAAATACCCAAACACAAATATTGTAGAAAATTATATTTCAAATAATATACACACAAATTATTTGTAATAACTTCGACTACATGCCGAGAAGTACTGAAATAATTTTAATTAATGTTTGATGGAAAGTGCAAATATTGCAGTTAGTTCAAATTATTATTCATGAATATGACATCCTCTTTAATACATTAATATACGTAATTGAAAAAACACATTGTTGCTCATATTAAATGAATTTGCATATAATTCGTTACAATATTTTTCCAGCCCACTTGCATTTTACGCTGTATTGCACAAAGAAAAAAAAATCAGGTGAAACTAAAGACATATCAAACATTTTACCGGTGTTTCTAATTTTGGCGGATATAAACTCTCTCAGTACCTGTTCAACATTTCCAAACTTGTTATGTAATAAAGTGGCAGGCAATGCTCTTGAAAATCGACAATAGTGCATTTTTACATAAATGCACTGGAGGTAGGTTATTGGAGAAAAAAGTGCATTTTCTTCGTGGTTTTGCTAAGATAACGTAAAACACGCAAGGAGGGAGATAAAAATTTGGATTTTTCACGAGATGGTCAATTCATACAGCATACCTGAAAATCAAATTTACGCCGCCTTTTGGTATTAAAAATGATATATTTTCGAGAAAGTAATCTACCGCTTTAGAGCGCTTGAACCTTCTTGTTCAGCTGACACGCATACATTTGAATTAATTCTCAGTATATTGTAGAGGAGTTACTCTACGAAGGGACCATTTTGACAGGTCGGGAAACAAATGAATGTCGTACAGGGAAATGATATCGCAAGAGCTAGTGATGAAGTCATATTCAAATGAGCTAACTGTCAACGAACGTACTTGCAAAATGAGCACGTGGGCATAATCTGCAATTACGTTGGCAGTAGAAGCCAAGAAGTAGCTTTTCTTATATACTCTCTCTACAAACCGATTCCCACAAAGTAACAAAGATGATTCAAAAAGTGCCCCAAGTTGGACAAGATCGATTCATATACATTTTGGAGTAAAGCCTGAGAGCAAGTCTATACTTCGATTTTTCAACAAATTACGTAACACGTCCAAAAATTACGTAACGCAAATTTGGAATATTTTGAATACCCCTTCTCCCCTCTGTAATGCACACGTAAAGCGCGCTTGATCCCCTTCCCCCAAATATGTATGTAACGCTTGCAACAACCCCCCTCTGTAAATACAAGAAATGAAAATAAATTATAGCACGGTGAAAACCATTTCTATTTATTTTATTTATGTTATTTATTAAAATCTTTGATAATTAAAGCTAAAATTAGTTGGCGATGCTGACTGCTCCTAAAAATAAGAAGGGGGCAAGCTTTGAGTGAAGGAAGGTAACATTGGCGAGAGTCTACTGCGCCAATGTAATTGGTTTCTAAAATATACTACAGATCAGTTTGAATATTTTCTTCGTAATCTTACAGATTCAATAAAAAAATGATAAAATAATTGTAATTATTATATCAACTTTTAATAACTTTAAATTAAGTTTTTAAAACAAATTAATTAGTTAATATTTTAATGCTTTAGTGTTAGACTCAGAAAAGGAAGTATTTCAATAAATGTTGAAATATGTATAAAAAAAGTGTTACATAACACAAAGCGAATATTCAATAATTCACTATGTAACGTAGCGTAACGCTGCCCAAAATCCCCTCCTCCTTCTTTAGTATTACATAAATAAACGATCGATGTATTATAAGTGGTCGATTACATTAGGTCATTCTTACACCTCCTGCATTATAAAATGAATATTTTTAACCGTGGTTATCACATTTCTGAGACTACGAAGTCTATTGGGAAGGGCGTTCACGAATTAATTAAAAAGTTTTATTTTAAAACATAAAGGAATAACCTCATGCGATCCACCTGGCCCTTACAGAAAAATTGAAGTATAGCCGCAAGTATTGTTCACGGTCGGAGGGACGAACGAACGGAGACTTATTGAACAATGCACTTTTTCGATATCAGAGATTCCCCAAAACGTGGCCATACTACGTAAACGAGGAAATAATATACTACATATAAAACGAATTTCAATTGAAATTGGAGTTTGACCATCAAAATAATGAAATTACCTTCCCTCATATAATTTGAATAAAGGGAGGGGGGGGGGGAATTGCTAACTTGGAAAAATTGAAACGGATTTTAAAAATCCTAAAAACTGACCACAGATGTGACAGGGAAACATTAAGGGAGGTTACTATCCAACTATGGAGAACCAGTAAGAATTTATAAATTATTATTTATCTTTGTAATGTTGCCTAAACTTTACAAGGGTGTCGAAGAATGATGATTATGTTGAGTAAATTGGTCAAAACTTAAATACACAAAATGTATCACAATATATGCAAATCACATGCAATACAAAAATATTTGGATCAGAAGAAAGACAACATATGAGTACAATTGCAGCTTTCCTAATTACAACCCTTTCCAGGACATAAAGTTAAGTTGGTCATTTTGTTTACTTCTCCCAAAATCATGAGATTTAATGAGTTTTATCTTTCTCCGTTATTAAAGCTAGCAAAAGAGAAACACAGTTACAATCGTTATGAACTATTCACTATGTGAGCGAAAAATTATCTTTAATATATACAGTATTTACTGAATTTTAACTTGCAAGTTTCTTAGGGTTTATGTAATATTGTATGTACAAATATCACTACGATTGCAACTTTCTCATAACATCTAAAATATGAATTGTGTTAAAAATCAGACCTCACACCACTTGTTGGTTGAAACATGAGTTATCCTGCCTGGAAGATTCATCTTTATTAGGGATGAACAAAATCAACAACTCTCAATGTGGCCACTAAAAATATTTTAATGATAGAAAAAATAAAACCAATAAAAATAAATTTGTTTTAAGTATGATAAAATTAACTGGAACAATCCTGAAACATATACAGAAACGCTTTTTACCTTCGACTCTATTCTAATGGAATACCAGAGGTTAGCAGTCATATTTTTAGCATTAAGCTAAGACTCAGGTAATTATTTTTGTCAAGGAAAAACAGGGGTTCACCTTCACCTTTCTCATTAAAATCGCAGTATTAACGTCCAAGCAATACTATGTGAATCATAAAATAAGAAGTTAATGTTTACTTTAATATTTTATAAATTAAGATAACATTTCTAACCGGAGTTCCAGTTACAAGTTCATGAATTTAACATATATTTTGGTTTGGTAAGTGTATTAATTTTGACATAAGCCTTTCAGGATCAGATGCTGATATCGCAAATGAAGCACAGGAAGGAAGGTGTTTTTGAAATACAAAATGCAAGTACTATAAAGAAATGTTGGGCCGAGCAATGAATGGAAAGTGGTTTGAAAGACACACGTAAGTAAAGTACATCCATTTGTTTCTCTTCATTTTCTTAGTATCACTAAAATAGTTATTTAAAAACCTGACAAAGTTTCTGATGAACATCAATCTCAGGATTCATGGAACAATGGAAGTGGAATAAAAATTCATCACAAACATATGAGTTAAGTTACAAAATTAAATAACTTTTATTTACGTTGGTGAACATGCACTTAGCAACCAACCATCTAAGGAAGGCTTTAGGAGTGTGTCCAATGCAACAGCCAATAAAATGCTCAAGTCTATTCAATATATTTTAGCAGACTCTCGGGTGTAGACTTCATCAGCGCTCATAAATCTTGGGATATATATGTCGTTGACACAAAACACAATTTTTGGGAATAAACATAAACAATTGTCACAGGAATACGTATCCAATATACTTTTCTTTGCCTTGTAAATTGTTCACAGCCAAATTTGCAAGTTCTTGTCTATAGCAAGCACCAAATACTCCACAATCAAGAATGACTTTCAAACGCAAGTTTATGCCGTCAGCCTTTTGCCAGAACTTAGTTGTTTTGTTAAAAGTTCTAATTTTTTAGGCTTGTAACCTTAATTTTTTTTTTAATCAATAACTTTATATTATCTATACTCAAATAAATTTTAAATAATTAGTCTTCAGAATTTACTATTATATTTCGAATGATATGGAATGAATACCTTTGATGTGTCCACAGGTGTTCTTATGTATTTTTATACATTTTTTTAGCATACTAAACAATGACCAGAGACTAGTTGGTTTTTGGATATTTGGAATATTTTGGATTGCTCATTCAAAAATGCGAGCATAATCTCTTTGCTAATGCCTCGAACATTCCATTTCGTTTGCCTATTACAACATATATAATAAGGTTTCTCATAAGTGGCTAAATATTTAGAAGACATTAAACTAAAGCTTGCAGCTTCTGCCTCCTCCAGAATATCATGTGGCACGAAAATATCAGCTGGTATTTCAAAATTACCAGACATTTGTTTTCTCAATCAGCTTGCATTAGCAGAAAAAGCATTCAAGTTATCACAAAGCATCCAGTACCACGAACTATTACCACCGTTAAGGTCTCAGCCGGAAGGTTAACTTCGCTCTGCCTTGCAGATAGCCTTCTGACTTCATCCTTCAAAACAAACTAATTTAAAGGACTTGTGACAAAAATAACTATTAGCATCCTCAAACACTTTAAAGCCCCATAGGGAACAGGTTCAAGAAAGAAAATAATAAACCAATTAATATGTAATGTTTTAATGTAGTTTTGATTGTAATCACACTATACACATATATACAAAATATTGTCCTGCTATGTGTTATTACAGCTATTTGATGGGATATTTCTGGAAAGGTTTCAATTACAAAATGTATCCTTACAATTACATTTATTGCAAAACCTTATTTGCAGCAACTTATCATTTCAGACAAGTTATTTTATAAGGGCAGCAGCCTCATGGCATTTCCTTCATATCAGTATCCAAAACCTCAACATCTCGACACTTAGCATGTTGTAATTCACGCTGCACCTCAGGTGAAATGAGATAATGATGATGACGCTTCAGTAGACCAAGTAATGCTTCTCGTTGCTCACTGCTCACATCATTCTTGTAACGTTGAACAAATGTTAGTAGAGACTGGTGCCAAAGGACAGGAAGTTCTCGGTTGTCACGCTCAAACTTCAAAAAGTGAAATACAGCAGCATCAATAACTCTGTAAGGTAATGCATATTTTTTGTCAAAAAATATTCTCAAGAATATTGAATTAGCACCACTATAATCCATTTCTGCTATTTTAAGCATAGCAGCAGCAGAGTGAAGCACAGGTATTGAATTACGGGTAATGACTGACCCAATAATTATAGCTTCTCTCAAAGTACATGTACCACTTTCACACAATGGTAAAAGAAACCCTTTCATAAAACCTCCAGGCTTGAAAAGAGCTTTGCGTACAGCTTGATAAAGATGAAAATTCAGCCGTTTGTACTCTGCAATGTCATCTCTGACTCGAGGAAGCAAAACAAGATTGAAAAATCGCTGTGCCATCTTTTCCTTTAGATTGGAGGCAAATATTCTAGTAGCTTGATACATAGCTGCAGCACTCCACCGATGAGGCTCCATGACATACAAAATTTGTTCCCAATTCCGCAGGGATGGAACAACTTTGAATGCTTTGGGTAACTTTCCACTACGGTATTTAATGAGAACATCTCTAACACCTTCATAAAGTTTTTTAATTCTGGGATCTAATTCTTCAATTTGAAGAGTTCCCGCATCAGAAAACTGGGTATGAAGTTCTGTTTGTTTCTCAGTAATTTTCTCCATAATGATGTCAGCAAGAGTTCTTTGGCGAGGTCCATCTTTATTCATAAACAGTTCTAATGCTTTTTCATCTTCTTCATTTACCTCTATATTTTCGTAGTAAGCTCCATCCAGGTCATTGTCTGAATCTTGTTCCTCTTTTTCTTCGTCTTGATCGTTTGTAGGACCCAATTTCGGAGCTGTCAATTTTACTCTCTCTGAAGGAGGCATCTCGTCCTCAAGTTCTTGCTGCTGTTTACGAGCTTCATTTATAATTTTTTCAGATAACTTGGCATCAACATACTCCTCGTCTTCGTTCTTCTTTGGTCGTATTTTAATCCGACCCTTTGACTGTACAGCATTTTCGTTTTCTATCTGTTGATCAAGCGGAACTTTAGGTTGCCGCCGCCCCATTTTGAGCCGTTTTGTCTTTCCCATTGTTACTAATAACTACAAATCACAAAAGAGACCCTCGCACTTTTAACCCAAAATACCACACAGCATAAAAGTCGAGACACTTCAGAAACTAATTCTCAATTATCAACACGTGGATTACGTATAAGCAGACAGACATGTCCTGCCACACGCTGGATGCTCTTTGCTCTTGCAGTTCTTTGGAATACGCACAGAGGTTATAGGTCACGGATGAAAATAAATGCTAATGATCAGGACACTTTTCGTAAACACTTGTACATTCTGAGTTTTTAGAATAAAAGCCGTAAAATTCACAGACACGAACTCGGATTACATAGGTAGTATATATAGTTTATACAATTAGGTTTATACACTTTAGATCATTGGATATCATCTGGTTGCGTCAGCGATTGGTGACAATCATGGAGAAACCTGTGCCAATCATATTCTCTTGAAAACCAATCTATTTACATCAATGAAGCAGAGGATTTATTCTAGATGATCATGTAATACAATAACTACATATTGTATATCATAATATAATTAATATAATTGATATATAATAATTCCCAATATATAAATTCCTTGGAACTGAACAAACGAAAATCGATGACGGTGATGTTTCTTTGACTGCTGAGTTTGCTGATCGAGACCGAGATAGACTTTCTCTGGTGTGTGCTAGGTTCGTTGTTGTAACGTTGTTCCATATTTTTTAGAGGTAAAGTATGTTTTCTTAGGATCATCAAAGATTTGTAAAGATTTCTTGTCAATAATTTAAGTTCACAAATTTTAAAATTTTCAGAAAATGGAGAACGATGCTGGTGAATTTGTGGACATGTACTGTCCGAGAAAATGGTAAGAACCACCACGTGTTTTATTTTCATTTAGTTCAATTCGTTTTGAGCAATGCTGAAAATTCTCTCCCTAATATTTTTGACATGTCCTTACATCAAATTTTATTTTTTAAACATGCGTGGTGAATATGAGATTGCTACGAGAATTCGGCCTGCACAGATATCGAGAAATGTGGGAAATCACACAAAGGACACTCTTCGACCTCCACATACTTGTTTTCTCGGTTGCTTCTGCAGAGGTGAAGGAGTTCCTCGCTCGAATATGTGAGCGAGCTAGTTTTCTCAGACACATTTCTACTTCGTTTGTTACAATATTCAAAAGCATTCGCAGAGCTGAGTGAGGTTATAATATTTACCAGTGAAAGATGTGATAAACATCCAGATTTTTAATTGCTTACTTGAATTCTCTCTTTCAACGAAAACTAACAAGAAAAAACTTATATGGAATATATTCATACTTGTATGAAATACGTTCATAATGAGCAATATAAAAGAAAAATAAATTGAAGCAGAAAACTTGAAGGGGTACTTTGAAAGAATTAATTCATTGTTTTTCCTAATTCATGTTTATTATTTATGAATTCATTATTTGTAATTTTGTTATGAATTATTTGATCATTCACCATTTATTCGTAATTTAACAAACTTAGTAAACCAGAAGGGGTAGAGATTATGGTCCTGCACAGATTTTACTTCTTTCCAATAATGTCACAAGAGTTCCTGTTTTTTTGCATTCATTTGTATGCAATGCAGTAATGTATTTTCTCTTTGGGCAATTCAAACTCATTAAACAGATATGTACAATTATGTTAACAAGGCAAGGAATTCCCAGGTTAAAATTACACAAGAACGTTTATAAAAACAAGAAATGGGTCTTGCAGAGATCTCATAGTAAACTGCTATTACTACTATCGACTTGTGGCACATAAAGGTATTTCGAGATGACGAATAACCTATTTCAAATATGTGAACATTGCTTCACTGACCTCTTCCCTCGTTTCACATTACTCAAAGTGTAATTTGGAATTTTCACATCTGTCTCCTACGTTGTGGAATTTGCATGATACGTAGGTTAGTATGTTTGATGAAGTTATATAGTAACTAAACTAAGGAAACTTCTGTTGGTCTTTGTAGCTCGGCAAGTAATCGTATCATTCATGCTAAGGATCATGCTTCCATCCAGATAGCCATTGCTGATATAGATCCTGCAACTGGACGTATGACTGAGACATCAAAGATGTATGCTATCTGTGGACCCATTAGAAGGATGGTATGTAATGCTTTCAGCCTTCAATCCAATTTTGTTGTTTCTTATTCAGGTATTTTCAATTTCTATTACTAATTTAACATTTCTAGGGTGAATCAGATGACTGCATCAACAGGCTGGCAAAGAAAGACGGACTCTTAGCCAAGTGAGTTTGTATTAAAATAAGAAACTTATTCTGAAGGGGTGTAACATATTTAAGATTATTGACTTGTTAAAATACAAGCAATTGAAGAAACATGAGATTGAACCTGGATTTTGTCAGTGTTCACGAAACAATTAGTATTTGAATGTAATTAAAAAATTAATCAATAATTGTCTTTTGAATAGTATGTAATGTTAATGGTATCCACGAAAGTTAAATGCTATCATATTAGGTGGCTTCGAGTAATTATACAAAAATAGTTTTGCAGCATTTCACATGCCTTGTCCTTACATGCCATACATTCTTACGTAGACTAAAATATAAAATATATCAGAAAAGTAGAGCTATTAAAATAGTGAGGATGCTTTAAAAAACTAAAGATAGGTGTCAACCTTCCTCTGTGGGTTGGTTGTATCAGGGGAAGGAGCATTCCCCAGCACAGTGATCTCCTGGTAACACTATAATAATTTCTGTGAAAGTTCTAATACTTGGTCCTGGTAATGGTAATAATTGACTTACACTTTTATGATAGTAAATACTCCAGTCTACTTTGATTATATTTCAAGTTAAGCTAAACAAAGATTTTCATAATAAATCTGTGTTTGTAGTTCCTAATATTAAGGTTCTATTAAGCACCTTATATCTCAGAAACCCATGTTTTGTTTTTGCCATCGAATTAATTGTGGGGGTTTGCTTGCTAGATGGTGCATCAATAGATAATGAAAGATCCCATGATGTTCCCAAAACCATATTTAATGCATCTGGAGAACAAATTATGTTTTGAGAGCGTCGGCTTCCACAGCCGGAGTCAGTATGTACTTGGCTGACCAGGGCACACTGTGTCCAAGTACCTTGGACGTGGTGTCTCCCTGGCAGCCAAGTACTTACATATTTCCAAATGGCCACTGGGCCAAAGAAAAGAAAAGCGTCTAGATGTGCGAGATGTATTCTTTTGCCCTAGAGAAGACTGTTTCCATTTGTATACTCTTATCATGGTAAGTTTTGAAGATTGTCTGATACATTTCTTGATACCATGCTACTAAATGATTGTAGTTTAAGTCACTGAATTAATTTTAATTTATTAGAGCAAACCTTCAAAGTGATGGGTGCAGTTTTTCTTGCAAATGCGTTCGCCTCTGTTAAAAATATTTTAATTCTAATATTTTTATTTAGACTAGATAAATTTTTTCTTCATATCAAATTTGTATCAGTGTATTATTTGTGCACTCTGAGTCGTGTACTGTAATATTTACAAAGTAATTTCTCTTGTTCCAGAAACTTCTAATGATATACTTCAAAGAATAAACGTTTTTCTTCAAATATGTATTTTTATTTTCCCTTCTTTTATTTTTCCTTACATGAAACCTTGACCAAGAATATGCGAGGTGCATCTTGAAAGTGATTTCCCTAGGTCAACAAAAAGAAATCAATTTTATGGAAATCAACTCAAAGTTAGCCACAAAAGCTCAGTTCATTAATTTGGATCAATTGAGTAGCATATTTCAAAAACTCATTAAATGCCAATATCTAAAACTTGCATTAGTGGCAGACCATTGCTCCAAGAGGATAGATACAGTGTTTAGTGCATATTCATATGAAAAATATTCATTTATCAACTGCTTTAATCAAAAACAAATTATTTGAATTCAGAAAAATTGGGCAACTTTTTGCCAGTTCACCAGAAGTTAGGAATGTGATTGACAGGTTTTTAAATAAAAGATTCACTCAAGCTTGAAGAGGTTTGGCCATTCACCCTATTGTCCAGATTTCAGCCTGCAGCTCAAATAGCTGCAGGCTATTTTCTTTCTTTACACTTCAAGAAATTCTATCCGGTCAATATTACAAACTGTAGTGACAGTTACAGTTCCCTGCCAAACACGTACCCATCCCAGGAGGCCGACTTTGATATAGGGATACTAAAATTCATGCCACAGTATAAGTCAATTTGGATGATTATGTGGGAAATAATGCAACATATGTTGTATCTGCTATGATAAATTGTTCACATGAAATTTTCTTTTTGTGATTCTTTTCTGAGTGCCTTATTTCACGTATCCACTTCATATGCCTGTTGGATTGTATTGTGCAATATCACTTTGAAAGCTAGTAGTGGCAGATTTATTTCATTGACTTCCTGTTTGAGCTATTTGGTGGAACATTTCAAATTTTTGGAGAGTTTATTTAGATAAACTATGTAACATATGAGGGAGAAGACCATCTGCGCTTGTTTTCTTGTGTTCCAGAATCTTTTCCATTTTAACTCATAAATAGTTGAAAAATGACTAAAAGTTAAAGATAAATAAATAAAAGTAAATTTTAAAAAAGGATGAGATTAGCAATGTCTTGAAAAACTTAGACATTTTTGTGTCTGAGTTACAGGAAACGTATTTGCAGCAGAAGATAAAATGCAAATTTTATTTTCTGCATTGCTGACAAAATGGTAACTATCCTTTTACTCTACTGCTTCAAGCAAAAGGAGAGTTTAACAAAACATGCAAATAGTGAAGCTACATTTGTGTCTGGAAACAAAACAAGGGGCCATCTCAGCATTTGGCCATTATGTATTAAATGGACAAAATAATGGAAACAGGACAAAAACTTGATTGAGATGGGGCACAGTTCTCTTAATCAGAAAGAGAAACTGGAGGATGGGTAAATTTTGAAGTTTTTATTGATTCTTAAACATTCAACTTCATTTTTTTTTTTTTTTTGTCTTGGTACTGATAAACGTGCACTTTTCTAATAGATGTGAGAATAACATTTTTATGGAAGGTGTTATATCTGTGTGAAACCGAATATTTTCTTCCGATGGCGATCTCTGAGCAATGTTTTGTTGTTCATTACATTAACAGATTTTTTGACTAATGGCCTCCATTGCTGCTGAACAAAAACCCTGATTTTCCTAACTGAAAAAATATTTTAACATTCTTCATAACTACATTATAATATAATGTATATTATACACAGTATACTGTTTACATTCGAAGAACATCAGTAAAGTTGTTCAAAAAATAAATATTTTTATAAAATGACCATATAATAACTTTAATTAGGTAAAGATTGTACAATATGCTCATGAACAAACTGAATGTTGTATGTTATTTAGTGTGAATGTGATTTTGTATTGTGTAGTTGATTATAAAGATGATTACATGTAATCATATAGGTCGAATGCGACGCTGTTATGAGAAAAAAATGGCGTGATGATTTGTTGCATTTCAGAATTTTTTCTGAATGCTCATTATTATTTTTAGTAATATAGAGTATGTGAGCGAGTCGGTTTGTTCCAGCGACAGTCCGAAACAGTCCCGAACTAGTCCGCGCATGCGCAGTCTAGTATTGGGCGTTCCAGCAGCAGCAGTCAGGGATTGTGACTGAGAGTTGGGCGTTCCAGCAGGGTTGCTGATTAGTTTGAAACTCTTTTTTATACTCTCTGTTTGAAACCAGTCCGAATCAGTTCGTGCACTCTCCCTCAAACTAGAAATTCGCGCATGCGTACTTCGGTCCCCGAGTTCCCGCCAACGCCAAACTTAGACGCCGCGTTGATTTACGTTTCCATCAGGTTTCTGCATAGATGTTTTATATTCTGCTCTATATATTTTGACCCTGCTTTGTTTTACGTTTTATTGATTCTTGGTTTTTGGTAATTTTGCTTTCTTTCGGATTTTTCTCGTGGATATTGGAATTTGATCCTGCTTTATTTTACGTTTCATTGATTTTCTAGTTTTTTTTCAAATATTACTAATCCCACGCTTCTTTAAAATTAATTTTTATTTATTTATTTATAGTTACGATGGGAAGGGATTCTGGAACTCAAGAAAACATGCGCAGATCACCTTCTCCCCATACGTCACATATACTTTTTTTTTTTTTACTAAATCAATCTAGATTCTTAGATTTTGGTGAGTGAGTTAGCTATCTTTCGGATTTTTTTTGTGGATATTGGAACCTGATATTTGTTTCTTTTTTGGGGGAAATGGAAGGTAAGTAATTTTAAGGAAGTTCCTTGTACCGTGACTTACCAAATACCTCAGTAGTTATTTACCATTCTGTATTGGTAGTGTTACCTCTCATTTTTAAGAAAAATACAATTAACCGAAATCTGAAAGAATAATCAAAAACAATAGCGCAAGTCATAGTTTACCAGGTTCAAAATCTGTAATTGATAGCAAGGTTAAGAAAATAAGCGAGCAATAATGGTGAAACATAAAGCGGGAGTAAATACCAGGACCAGGTATGGAAAATGGTCCTGGCATTTACCAGGACTAGGTCCTGGTAAATACCAGGACCATACCTCTAGAAAATACCTTTACTCTATGGGACCAGGTCGCTTTGATTTTTGCACGCGATACGAAAATTATATCTGGCGGAGAATGCTGTAACTACCGATGAAACGAAAGCAGCGGTACCTAGAGACTGTACTGTGTTTTTGTACCTATCTGTACCAGCAGATCCCAATTCGGGACTAGTTTGCACTCGCGCATGCGCAGAGTGAGAGTACGTAAAACAGTCCGGGATTGTTTGCTGGAACAAACCTATAATAGAGTGGAGGAAAGAGAAGGGATGGTTTCAGTATACGAGTATTCGGGATGCACCTCCGCGCGGGTTCATACGTTTATCAATTTCATTTGATACAGAGTGAGAAACCTCCTCCAGTCCTGAAATATCTCCTGGTCAATATTTTTTACTTGCTGAATTCTTTATATTTAATTATTTAATAACTAATCAGGAGCCGTTTAACGAAATAATTTTCGATCATAGGAGCCTTTTCTTTCCTTCAGAAAAACAAGCCAGAATCTTCAGGCTTCATCTTCAGATCAATTTTCAGAAAAACAAGCCATTGATTAATCAGAATATGAATTACAACTGTATGTACACATTTAGATATTGTTATATCAATGATTCTTTTCTCAAAATTCCATAATTCGCTAAAGATTTTTTAAGACAGGTTTTGTATGATTTATAAGAAACCATCGACGCAAAGTTTGCTACTGCTACTCGAACGACTTACAATCGTTCATAACTCGGAAACAATGCATTCAAGGACCTTAAAACTAGGATTCCGCGTCCATTACCGAACAAGAGTTGCAATATATATATATATATATATATATATATATATATATATATATATATATATATATATATATATAAGTTGGAGTGTCATTGCTAAATGAAACGGATCATTTTAAATACAAATAATCTGTCACTTGCATAAAGTTGAAAAATAATTTGAAATTGGCGGGCAAATATTGGTTTATAAGCATGGTGGAAATGGTCTATAGTATAGGGGTAGAGTTATGCGGAGCGCGTCACTTGTGTTGGTTTCGAACACTCCAATTTAAATATAGAGTCCCTTTAAGGTTTCGACAAGGATGGGGGAAGAGCGGTAATATTATCCAATAGGGATATTTCTGACAAAATTTCGATTGGACATCAGTCTCACCATTATGGGACACTTAAGTTTAACTCGGATTATGCAAGTGCTTTGAATACGTGCCTCGTGCCTGACATGCCTGCACGTGTTCCGATTGGGGGTTGAAGTTGGGCATTGGGCATTTACTTAATCGCTATAGAGGTTATGTGATTTTATTATATAGTGTTAATTCCTTGGCGGTGATGACTTGGGGGACAAGTTGTTCTAATCTGTAAGCTGACTCAAGGAAGTATGTAAATTGAATGCCGAACATCGAATTCTTTTTCTTCTTATAAACAATTTATCGTTGTGGAGCACATGCGTATTAGAGTCACAGGTGTCATCAGTTTTTCCAGCACTTCATAACCATAATCATGGATGAAGAATTGGAGACGCCTAGAATTTTAACCCGGTTTAAATCAGAAACTGGTGAAGTTACTGGTAGTTTATTGGATTTGCCTATCAACATAACAGTAGACAAGCTTCAGCTTATATGTAATGCGCTTTTGGAACAGGTGCGTACAAACAATTCTACTTAATGAGGGTTTTTGTGCTTTTCTTTACTAATAATGTAATATTTTTGTCCTTAGGATGAGAACACTCCTTATGTTTTCTTCGTGAATGACAATGAAATCAAGGGCACCTTAGGAAGTGTTATAGATGGTGAAAAAGGAGGGACTGAACAAGTTGTTGATATTGTTTACCAACAACAGGCTGTGTTTAAAGTACGAGCTGTAACAAGATGCACTAGGTATAGATGTTTTGTTATTTTTTTCCATAAAAACATGGTTAATTTTTAAAAATATTTGTGAGATTAATACAACTTCAATCTGTTATTTTTCAAATGTTTCAGTTCCATACCTGGCCATGCTGAAGCAGTAATATCTGTGAGTTTTAGTCCTAATGGTAGACATTTAGCAAGTGGCTCTGGGGATACTACTGTTCGATTTTGGGATGTAGATACTCAAACACCACACCATACTTGTAAAGGTAAGTTGCACCTTTTGTTACGAGGTTTCAACAGAAACTGGACTCCTTCAGTCCATGCAGTTCTCGTCCAATATTCATAGTTTTTCCTTCAATACAAATTGTTAAAATAAATAATTATTTTGTAATTTCAATGAAATGTATTCAGAAATGCAGACTTTAAAAATATGGATATGACGGTATAAATTTTATTCAGATCATTGTGACTTTCAAAAAAATTAAAATTTCATTTTCATCAGAATTATTTCATTTTTTATTTTAAAACTAGGAATAATGTGCCCCAACCTTGCACACTTCATGCAGTTTCAGAAAGGTACTCTTTATCTTCAGCTTTAGACAGTGTACTTCTCTTCAACATACCTTTATTTCTTCAGCAAGCCCCATCCACTAATCGCTGCTTTGACAAGTTTGAATTATAGAGTGTAAATTAAGCTTAATTTTTTTTTTTTTTTATAACGAACGCCGACCATTTGTAGAATACAAAGCATTTGTTATTTTTGTAGAGTAAAACTATGCAAGTGTTCTTGAATTATGTGAACCTTTTGTAAAACCTGTAGGATAATGCATATGAGAATTTTGTGAGTTTCTTATCCTAAGAGTTTATATTAAATCTAAGCCCCAAACTTGAATTTCTGCAAGTTGAATACTCTACCAATTTAGGTCTTAATTAATGTTGTTATGTAATTTAAAGGTCATAAAAATTGGGTCCTTTGTATTGCGTGGTCTCCAAATGGTGCTCGCCTTGCATCTGGTTGCAAAAGTGGAGAAATCTTGATTTGGGATCCTGATACTGGAAAACAGTGTGGTCAAGCCCTGAGAGGGCACAGGCAGTGGATTACATCTCTCTGTTGGGAACCATTTCACAGGTAAGTGTATGTGCCTTGTAAAGGTTTCAATTTTAAAATTTATTATGAATGACTCCCAAGAGTGATAACTTTTTGCTGAATTAAGATTTTATTCAGTATACCTCTAAGGTGAGATATTGCATGGTGGAAGATGAAGTAATAAAAAAGGGCAGAAAGAAGCATGATTCAATAAGAATAATTATTATTCAGAACATCTTTGCTGTGTGTTCTCTGGTGTATGCCAATGTACGGAAGGTGCATTGGCACTAGAGTACAGAAAGAATGGAACCAAACATCCAAGTTACATTTAAAAACTCACTTTCCTCTGGGGATAGTACTGTTAAATTTTTGGATGTAGATGCTGAAACACTACATCGTACGTGCAATGGTATGTTTTATCTTTTGTTACGAGATTTGGGCTTTAGTACAGGCAGACCAGAGGAGAGAGGAATGCAGCCAGAGCATCGCTCCAGGGCCTGTGAATTTCAAGAGGGCCAATGAAGCCCAATACATGCCATAATTTTGTTTTCAAATTGAACATATACTTAGTTTTTTATTTTTTAACATTCCTAATCTTTTTCAATTTTGAAAGTTAAGATGTATTTTCAAAATTTTAAGTCACACACAGGTCATAGTGAATCCAGGAAAGTGGACTAAGCCATTGTGAATAGTCAGGTGCTGAAGGATATATTTTAATACTCAGTGTTATCTAAAATATATCAATATAATAATTTATAAGTTATTGTAATGTAGACACATATATGTCAGTAGAATATTTTTTGTGGGTATGGTAGGTGTTGATGACTCAGCTAGGTGAGACAAGTTCAGTAACTAGCAAGTCTGATGCAGTAATTTGATCCAGCATTTGGTACACTGGGCAAGTTGAAGACGGCATGATAGTGGGAGATGATGTTACGTAATGCCTGAATAATGGTGTCTGCATTCTGTGGACAAACATTAGTTTGAGGCATAATCTGCTAGGGCTGTTGGGAGGCTCCTGGTGCATGCTGATGGGTCAGTCCCGTCTTTCTTCTTTACATTCATAGGCCACCTTGCAATTGTGCCCAAGGATGATCTGCACTGCTCAAGCCGAGTGTGCACTCCCATTGAGACTGACTTGTTTCATTGTGATCGCCAGGGGAGGCCTTTAGACAGGATATTCACACTGGTCGCCAATTGTCTGAGGATGCCAAAATTAGGAAAATTCTCATATATATGTTCTTATTAACAATTTGTATGTACCTGATAATAAATATTGTATACTTTTAAATATTCAAAACAATTAAACATTTTCTTTTAGTGAGCATGTTGAGCAAAGTATCATTTTTCGTTAAAGAGAATTCTCACTTTTGTAAAGCTGTTTTTTCTTGGAGGGGGAGGAGTCAAATTATCTTTTGCTTTGAGCACTAAAAGGCCAAGTTCCGTATGATCAAGGGCACAATAGAGATTTGGCATCCCGTCTTGCTGCTCCAGTCTCTTCACTTCATTTGTGGATGCTATGTGTCCGATGCATGAGTCAGGTCACTTAACACTGACCAGGGGGTTCTAGAGATCTAGTATCAAATATGTTTTTTCACACTAGCTTCATAGCTGTGTGGAATTCAACTGGTGTGGAGAGAATTTTGGGGCTGGCTGCTCTGATCAGTAGTTTTTGTGGCTTCTCCGATTAATACCAGACATATGCTGGAGCAGTTCTTAAATAAATGGGCTGCATGCGATCTTTCCTTCCTCATACTTGTCCCTTCCTCTCCCCTTATACACACATTTTGATTATTTATGTTGTACAGTTTGTTTGTTAAAGAAATGTTATTAATTCCATTACAATTTCATTTTTGTAGAAACCCAGAATGCAGACGTTTGGCAAGTTCCTCAAAAGATGGAGATATAAGAATATGGGACGCAGTTCTTGGTCAGTCTCTTTTTATCTTGACAAGCCACACTAAATGCGTCACCTGCATTCGTTGGGGTGGTTCTGGTTTGCTCTATAGTAGTTCCCAAGATCGTACCATTAAAGTGTGGAGAACAAGTGATGTGAGTTTCAATGTATTTAATTTTATTTGCATTGTAATGGTACAGTTAACTCTGGTTATAGTGAACTACTGAAGATTAACATTTTTGTTTTACTATATCCGGTTATAAAATTAAATAGAATTTCTCCACAATGAATGATTTTATTAAGATAGAGGTACAGAAAAATACATTTATAATAGGAACTGAAAAATTCAGTGTCTTAATTTGTTCTAAAAATGAATTATTTTCAATTGTTTGCTTCATATAGGTTACATTAGTAATTCCTCTAGATCGTCCAGGGTTCATGATCTCTCCTTACTTGATTCTGCAGTTTCCACTGTCTACAGTTCTGTGTCATGAGAGAGCCTTAGTTTTCGCATTGAAACTGAGTGGCACGAGGTTATCAGTCCCTGTTTCCGGGTCTGTTACCATCACCTCAGGAGAGATTTCTTTGATTGTGACCTTTGACCGATATTTTTTTCAAGCTGCCTAATACTGTAATTTGTGGCACTGAGGTAATATATTTTCCAGGAGAGAATTAATTTCCAGGTCGTTGGATTTCCTAAGACCAAGGACCAAGTTCAGTTTCAATATAATCGAATCCTTTTAAGCCTATTTGTAATGTAAGTGAAACGGTACCAGTGACCAGTTCACTATAACAGTAGTCGGCTGTATATGTAATCTGATGTTTTGAAAGTTCAGATAATAAGGAAACTGAAAATCATCTTTATAAAATAATGTTCTTTTTCAGGGAGTTATGTGTCGTACATTAGAAGGACATGCTCATTGGGTAAACACATTAGCATTGAGCACTGATTATGTGTTACGCATAGGTTCTTGTGACCCAATTCAAATGAATACCTCTGGTACGTATTTCTGTATTTTAGATACCAATGAAAATAAATATATCAGTAACTAAGGTAACATGTGGCCCAAATTATCCTGATTATCTTTAAAATTGAAAGCTCTGAACATATGAATTTTGTTAATATTTGTGTGGTGGTGACATTTATAATATGTGACGGGTGGCAGCAAAATTGCTGCTGAACAAAATTACTCAAAACGGTTTTCCAAAAAGTAACACATCCTGTTCAAGAACAACTAATAAAATACTCCTATCTAGAATTGCACTAAATTAAATATTTTAATAAAATTGATCTTCACAGACCCTGTTATAACATAGTGTAGTATCAATACATTATAAAAATTCTTTAAAAACCAAGATTATCAAAACATTAATGTTCCCTTACCCAGTATTTGAATAGCAAATATTTAATGAAATGACAACCTTACTGTTGCATGATGTTAGCTGTGTCTTGAGCAGTGACACACTGAATATGAGAATTTTGAGAGTACACAATATGAGAGTATACAAAATGCGACGTTAGCTCCTCAAGGCAAGAAAGTTGAGCCTCTAATAGAGGGAACCTTCCCCTCTGCCACTTTTCACGCATGCGCTGTCAGGGGAATTTTTCTAAATGGTTAAGCTATAATATATTTTACGATATTAAAGTATTTTATCATATTGTTTTCACATTGTAAATTTCACTTGTGAAAATTAAATAAATAAAATATAAGTTCAGTGAGTTACCCCATTTAAACACTATCTGAGTATTCAAAAAAAATAATTACAGGCATTGACATAATTAATTATATTCCCTATGAGAGAAATAATGGAATCAACCAAAATATCTTCGCATTACTATTAGCCAGAAAATTATTAGTTAACTCCATTAATTTGAACAATTTACATTTATGCATGTACTTATTACTGGACACAGGATTGTAAAAGATTTAAATGAACAAGAGATCTGCCACCTTTGACAAGTCTCAAGCGACTTAATTATACAAGTTCTGTCATACGACCAAACAACAACCATTGCATATTCTAGTATTGATCTAACAATTGATAATTGGTGTGTTTGCAATTCCGTTATAGTCTTGTAGGTTCCTGCGTCTCGTAGGTAGTTTTCATAAGATATCTAAGTGCTTGATATGCTCTGGTAATTACATGCTCAGTATGAGGCCTGAATGTAAGTTGTCAATCAACAGTTGTCCCAAATCTCTGTTAAGAGTGTCCCGCTCTAAACTAGTGCCAGATATGTTAAAATTATACTGTATACATGATGTTTTCAGAAAAGGACATTATCTGACACTTGCTAGGACACAGCACACATTAAAGTGAGCTTATCCCGGGTACACCACTTGATAAAACTATAAAGTCGACTTCAAATGTATCACAATCAATAAATTGATTTAGATACTAGAAGTCTAGTTTGATTGACTAGAAAAAGTTTGGTTGTAACCAAATTTCAGTTAGAAAATTATATCCAAATTACTAACATCAAAAAGAAAACACGGCAAGAGTGTATTTACTACAAGTCTAACATTCTGATAATAATGTATAATACTGATTGTCTCTGATATAATTTACTTTTTGTACTTATTAATCTAATTCAACATTAAATATGGTTTTATGCAATAAATTTTCATTTTTTATCAGTATCTATAATTTATTGCAACTATTTATTTTGTTATTGAATGAACAATTGTTACTTTGTTGGCTCACTCAGTGTGCTATGCGAGGACTTACATGTCAGAAAGGAAGGACAAGTAGAGAAACGTTAAAAGAAATTAAAGGAAATTGGCATATTATTTTATTTTCAGGAAAGCTGTCACCAAGCGAAGTTTTGGAAAGATACAATGAATTACATCCTTCCAGTGAAGAGAGATTGGTGTCGGGATCAGATGATTTTACTCTGTTTTTGTGGCAACCTGAAAGTAGCAAAAAGCCTATAGGTGAGTGTTGCAAAAGAACAAAAGTGAATGTTTGTGATTCTGCTGTACTTTGTAATATTTCTGAAGTACAGTATATCAGAAAAGTAAACTTGAGATTTTTGGGAATACTTTATAATGCTTTTGGTCGTTCATTGAACTTGATAACCCTCTAATCATTATCTGATACTTTCAGTACAATGAAAACAATTTTTGTGATTTCTCTCTTCTATTGATGTTGATTGGGATTTGGAATTCATTTAATATTCCATTCAGCTATAATATTTTTAATAATTTGTTTACACTTTCAATTGAGAGATTCCTGGTTGCAGATTTTGTACACAATATACCAAGTGGATAGGGTTGAACTTGTCTTGTGAATTAATAGATTTCTGAACTTGTGTTGTGTTTTTGTTTACTAAAGAAAAGCTGAAAGATGTAAGAATTATGCTATTTTCTTGAGTTTAAATTTGAAAAATGTGTTTTTTCTCTTTAGCTCGTATGACTGGGCATCAGCAGCTTGTGAACGACGTTAAATTTTCACCTGATACCCGAATCATTGCTTCTGCTTCATTTGATAAATCCATCAAACTATGGGATGGACGAACTGGAAAGTATGTTTTGTGTTTTAAATTGTAAATTGAAATATCACTTTTTTTCAAATAATTTTTTCTAATATATGTTGCATTTTAGATTTCTTGCAGCACTAAGAGGGCATGTACAAGCTGTATATCAAATAGCATGGTCTGCAGATTCTCGGTTATTAGTCAGTAAAAAGGAAACTTTCGACGTTAGAGACAAATTACTTAATTCCAAATTACTAACATCAAAAAGAAAATACATGGACAATTATTAATGTATATGAAACTGAAACTTGGAAGTCAACAAGTCTAAATTCTGATAATAAAATGTTCAGTACTAAAGAAAGAAGACGTAAGCGAAAAAAAAAAAAAGTCTGTCAGGACACAACAAGATATGTACTACGAAAATGATCATTATGAAGTCTTTCTTTAACTTTGTGTTTATGTACTTATTAATTTCATAACAGATTCATTATGGGCACATATCAAATTAAGTCTGGTTTTTAATGCAATAAAGCTTGTTTACGAGTTTTCCATTATCAGGTAATCTTATAGTAGTGGTATGACCATAAATTTATAGTTTTTAGTGGTTTATATGCCTTCGAATGACAACTAAGCTTGTTCTAATCTATAATCGGATTGCTTGCCCTTTGGACTTTCACTTCTAGGTTGCTTACCTCGGTTTCGGGGAAAGGGACTTACCATTGTCAGAAGGAAGGGGCATAGGATAGAGAGCAAAAAGGTCGTTTAAATAGAACATTAGAGGAAACTCTGGCATATTCTCTTATTTCCCAGAAAGCTGTCACCAAAGCGAGAGAGTTTTGAAAGATACAATGAATTAACATCCCTCACCACAGTGAAGTAAGTAGATGTGAGGGGTCGAAGGGATTTCGCAGATCGACTTTTAACTTAGGTTCTATTGAAAAAATGACAGGGCACTCATCTTTCATGTTTTTGTGGACAACGACTGAAAATATGAACTTTGAAGGTGTCAAAAAAGCACATAGGTGTATGTCAGAGATATTGGCATTCAGAAAGAACGATGCAAATAAACAAAAGTGAATGTTTGTTGATGCATTCTGGGGATCTTCTGTACTTTGTAATATCTCTGAAAGTACAGTATATCAGAAAAGTAAACTTGAGATTTTTGGGCAAAAACTTTATAATGCTTTTGACTCCGAATAAATCATGGTTGAACTGTTGATAAACCACGTCTTAACCTCATTATGCATGATTATTCAGTACAATGAAAACAATTTTTGTGATTCTCTCTTCTAATGATGTCTGATTGGGATTTGGAATTCATTAATGATTCCATTCACTATAATATTTAAATGAATTGTTTTACACTTTCAATTGAGAATCCTGGTTGCAGATTTTGTACAACAATAATACCCCAGTGATAGGGTTGAACTTGTCTTGTGATTAATAGATTTCTGAACTTCTGTTGTGTTTTTTTGTTTACTAGAAAGCTGAAGATGTAAGAATTGTCTATTTTCTTGAGTTTTAAATTTGAATGTGTTTTTCTCTTTAGCTCGTATGAACTGGGCACGCAGCTTGTGAATGACGTTAAATTTTCAACCTGATACCCGAATCCATTGCTTCTGCTTCATCTTGATAAATCCATTCAACTATGGGAATGCGACGAACTGGAAAGTATGTTTTGTGTTTGTAAAACTTGTAAATTGAAATATCCACATTTTTTTTCAAAGATTTTTTTCTAATATATGTTGCATTTTAGAATTTCCCCCCCCCACCCCCCCCCCTCCCCCCCCCCCCCCCCCCCCCCCTTGCAGCACTAATAGGGCATGTACAAGCTGTATACTCAAATAGCAATGGTCTGGAGATTCTCGTTTATTAGTCAGTGGTAAGTGCAAGATTCTAACACTCAAAGGTTTGCTTCTCCCATTTTATTAATTCTTAATATATATATATATATAATATATAATATAATATATATATATATAAATATATATATATATATATATATATATATATAATATATATATATATTATTGTTTTTTATAGGCTGAAGAAAAGAATAAATTATTTAAACTTGATACCTTCTGACAAGAAG